TCATTACTGCTTTCGAGAGGCCTCTCAATTCATTCCAGTATATACTTAGTTTTTTTTATTTTATGGCGACAAAATTAGTGATTGACAAATTTTAAGCTATTTACTATTGATATTTGCTTATATATACTTAATTTTGGTTGTTTTGGACCACTTGGTGGATGTCTGTTGAAGTGACCGCCAAGCTTCTGCTGGGATAACAGAGCAAAATCTGATATTGTGACGTCACAAGAGACCTGTTAATTAACATTAAGAGTAACGGGACTACTCTTTGCGCAACCACTGTGTCTTTTAACAGTGACCTACTGTGTCTTTTAACAGTGGCAGCCTACTGTGTCTTTTAACAGTGCTGTCGGCTATCACGATCAAGTGTGTCTTTTAACAGTGGTCGGCTATCTATTTTGCTGCATCGTGAAAAAGTCAAAGGATGCTGTTCTTAATGAATTACCGACTTTGTCGGGTATTATTGACAACGAAATGAATATGACCACTGGTCTCATAAATAATTTATTTTAAAAAATTTTAATTTATATAAAAATATAGTATAAAGTAAAAGTTATACTGTTAAGATTTTACAATGTTAACGTAACCTGCACTTGCGCGTTGCATACATTGTTAACATCGATAGCATAAATATCGATATTTTTGCAGTATAAGCAATAAATCTTATAAAGAAACAGCATTCAACAAGTGCAATTGTATCCAACAAAACAAGATTCCATTAACCGATTACCTACCGAAACGAATCAATAAATTGTCAATGAATCATCGGGCAACACGTTCAATGCTCTTTAAGCACTAAAGGGCCACCGCAAACATAAATACTTAACATACATAATTGCAACATATTGCGAAAAGAAATTAAGTTGTATGCATGTTTTCTTCATTTTGTTAAAACAGTATACATAAAAAAAAGCAATACAATGAGTTGCTTTAGTGCAATGAATACGCCTCTGTTAGGGGAAATGGAACAAACGATCTGCATGCTCGAACGCGGCACAATTGTAACAAAACTCTATGGAAAACAACGACGCCCCGATCGTCGACACTTAATGCTTATAAGGGAGACTCGTCAGCTGTTATGGTCCACTGTCGCAGCACACACGCGCACGGAATACGAGGGCACGATCCAGTTGCGGGAGATACGGGAAATACGCGTTGGCAAGAACTCCAAAGAGTTCCGACTGCATGCTGACGACTGTCAGCGTTTCGAGAGTAGCAAATGCTTTGTGATCATGCATGGAAATAGTTTCAAACTGAAGAGTTTCTCGGTGGTGGCACTCTCAGAAGTTGAGGCCGACAACTGGGTACGGGGACTGCGTTATATGGTTAAGGATACCGTTAATTCGCCGTATCCCCTGCAAATCGATCGATGGCTGCGACGGGAATATTATTCATTCGAAAATGTCAACTCACACCTGGCCAAATCTGACCAGACTGCCCAAGTGACTATCAAGGATTTTAAAACATTCTTGAGCAGCGTTAGCTGTAAAATGAGCACTAGCAAATTCATGGAATGCTTTACCGACGACATACGACGAAAGCACGATTTGAAATTCGATGATTTCTCGCGTCTATATCAGAAGCTCTTGCTGCCCGTCTCGTATGCTACCATATTTGGCGGTACGGAGCTCACCTACTCGGAGGACAAAAAAGTCGTCCGGCCTATGGAGTTCAAACGATTTCTGGAAACTGAACAACACGATTATAGTGCTTCTGAACTGAATAGTATATCGAGCTTTATGCGCGATTTTGTTCAGGATGTGGAGCGCGATGTACAGGAGCCATACTTAACCATCTCAGAGTTTGTCGACTATCTCTTCTCCAAACAGAATGATCTGTGGGACAGCAGATACGACACAGTCTTCATGGATATGAATCAACCCCTCTCCTCTTACTGGATAGCCTCGTCACACAATACCTACCTAACCGGCGATCAGTTCTCAAGTGAATCTTCATGTGAGGCGTATGCCCGTGCCTTGCGCATGGGCTGTCGCTGTATCGAGCTGGATTGTTGGAACGGTCCTGATAATTTGCCAAATATATTCCATGGTCATACAATGACCTCAAAGATAAAGTTCATGGATGTCATCAAGACCATCAAAGATCACGCGTTCGCAACGTCAGAGTATCCCGTTATTCTATCCATTGAACAGAACTGTTCCTTGGAACAACAACGGAATATGGCACATGCCTTGATAGAGGTATGATTATCGGATGCCCCATTTGTATTTCATACCACAATTGATATGTAAATAAAATTACTGTTTAGGTCTTTGGGGATATGTTGCTCACACAGCCCTGCGACCGGAACGAGCTCCATTTGCCGTCACCCAATCAGCTGCGTCGCAAAATAATTTTAAAGCACAAGAAGCTCCCTCAATTTGATGAAAATGTTAGTTCCATTAATTTACCTGCAGTTGGTGTTAGTAACGGAACGATCGCCTCCTTCAGCCATCGATCTTCGCTGGGTGGTGCGACGGATGACAATGAGAATATGCAAAAAATCCTAAAAAAGGGGCTGTTATATTTTAAAGACCCAGTCGATAAGTCCTGGAATCTTTTTCAGTTTGTCCTCACCCAGCAGGAGCTCATATACACATCGGAAATCAATGATTGTCGAAACGGCAATTCCGAAGATGATGATTTTGGGCTGTCGTCCTGTTCCTTAAATAACAATGTACAACAAAAGCAAAAGGATACTTCGGCCAATGATGAACTGCATTTTGGCGAAAACTGGTTTCACGGCAAATTGGAAGGTAAGGCTAAACATTATTTTAATAATATTAATATATGAATGATGATAAGGTAAATCGATTGATGCTTTTTGTAGTTTTCCGGCTCTTTCTTGCATTACTTGCATTACTTGCATTCTTTCTTAACTATAGCTTGCAAAGGTCTGTTATATAATATTTGCAGTATATGTATGCTGTTTGTTTCATTCGATAAGGTGGCAGACAAGAAGCTGATCAACTGTTGGAAACATATAAACATCTGGGCGATGGAACCTTTTTAGTGCGCGAATCGGCCACGTTTGTTGGGGATTACAGTCTCTCATTCTGGCGTCGCAATCGTCCCAATCATTGTCGTATTAAACTGAAACACGAGAATGGCTCCATTAAGTACTATCTGGTAGAGAATTTCGTGTTTGATTCGCTGTACTCGTTAATCGTGTACTATCGCAAGAATATGCTGCGCAGCTCGGAGTTTTCGATTATTCTCAAGGAGCCGGTGCCACAGCCAAAGAAGCACGAGAGCCAGGAGTGGTTTCATCCAAATACTACAAAGGAGCAGGCTGAGATGGGACTGATTAAACTGGACATTGGTTCGTTTCTGGTGCGGCCATCGGTTCAGAGCGTCAATGCGTTTGTCATATCCTTTACGATAAATCGCAAAATCAAACACTGTCGAATCATTCAGGAGGGCCGGCTGTATGCCATTGATACGATGCAGTTCGAGTCTCTGGTATCCCTAATTCATTATTATATGAGGAATCCATTATATCGCAATGTGAAGCTCGTACATCCTGTCTCTCAGGAACTGCTGCGACAAGCCCTATTGGAGAATGCCCAGTCGCAGGGCGACCAAAGCAATAACGATACCTCTGGCGCCTCCAACTACATGGGCTCCAATCTGGAGGAGTATGTCACATGTAAGGCCCTATATAGCTATAAAGCCGACAAGCCAGACGAGCTCTCGTTTCCAAAGCACGCGATCATAACCAATGTGCAAAGAAACAACTCCATGTGGTGGAAAGGTGATTACGGGGGCATGATCCAGCAACATCTGCCGGCTAACTATGTCAAGGTGAGTTGTTATGCATTATCTTATGCATTACTTGAAATATTAATATATGGAGCACCGTACCTCCTTGCCAGGCAGACAAATAATCAGACTACTGTTTTGCTTGTAAAGGTCATTGATTCTGCCACTGAAGATTACAACTCGGTGAACGACGAAGGCAATGATGGACGCACTGATTCAATTGAGATTTACGGTGCAGTGGCGTCTCTCTTCGAGTCGAATGAGCCTGGCATTATAATAAAGCTGCAAATTCAAACGCCAACGATGCAAAATCCGTTTATAATTGGATTCGATAATCAGGAAACAGCGTATGAGTGGATCAAAGCTATACAGGATGCGGCACTGATTGCTAGTCAATTGGCCACTGAACGCCGTAAAAAGGAGCGCACTGCACGCGTAGCCAAGGAGATGTCCGATTTAATTATCTATTTTCGTAGTGTACCATTTCGGGATCATTCGTGGATATTCCAAGAGATGTCTAGCTTTCCTGAAACAAAGGCCGAAAAGCAGTTTATCCAACAAAATATGCCGCTATTTTTGGCGTATCATCGCAATCAAATCAGTCGCGTCTATCCAAAGGGTCAGCGCTTGGACTCATCCAACTTCAACCCGGTGCCATTTTGGAACATTGGCTCCCAAATGATTGCACTGAATTATCAAACTGGCGACAAGGCCATGCAGCTCAATCAGGCTAAATTTCGAAATAATGGTCAATGCGGTTATATATTGAAGCCAGCATTCATGAAGTCTGAAACCTTCAACCCCAATAATCCTCTATCGGACGGTCTCATTGAAACGAATGTCAGCATACGCATCATCGCAGCTCGTCATCTATTCCGTGGTGGCAAGTCGAATAATCCGCAAATTGTAGTGGAAGTCGTTGGCGCACCTTTTGACAGTGGCGTTAAATATCGCAGCAAAGTTAATGAGAATGGCTTCAATCCCATCTGGAATGAATCCTTCAAGTTTACAGTGCACAATCCACAGTTTGCGTTGCTGCGCTTCGAAGTGCAGGATGAGGATATGTTTGCCGAAACACATTTCATAGCTCAGGCTTGTTATCCTTTGGACTGTGTGCGACAAGGCTATCGTAGCGTGATCCTACGCAACAAGTTCAGCGAAGAGTTGGAGCTGTCTTCGCTTTTAGTCAATATAGAAATTAAAACTCGAGCATCTACTTAATACAATCACATTCCCCACCTCCACGAGAATTCGTATGTACAATACAGATTGTGAAGATTGAAACACATATCAGCAGATACACTGCATACAAATGCATATCTATCTAGATGTTAGCAAACCGTATATGTATTTTACGCATCTATTCATTATTCATATACGACATGTTTGCGCTCGCATTCCTTTCTAAAACGTTTATGCCATGAACGGTTTGTGATAGATATTTGATTTCATGAAACGCAGCTAGGAAGAATTCATGACTTCAATCTTACACAACTTGGAAACAATGTAGAATTAAAATATTTTATTTTTCGTTTTTCTTCGCAAAAGTGACCTAAATGCGTGAACTTACAAATACCTGAACTGATAGTATTGATCGATAAATTATGGAGAATCTCATTTGTGAAGCTCAAGTTATTACATTGAAACATATGTATGTCATATTCTATAAAGATACTGATTATTTTCATAATAACAAATATAGTGACTTCAAACTTACAAACGCAACACAACAATTTTCTTAAGTTTCAATCGATCATTGAAATCAGTTACATTAGCAAAGGAGAAGTACATTTGAGTAATGCCAAAGGCTCATATATATTTTGTCGTATTCTTTATACGTTAATTAAAATGCATTAACTCTGCATGAAAGCATTCATCTATCGATTTGTTAAGTTGAAAAAGGTATTAGCCATAAGAAATACATACAAGAAACATATTAATTGACTTCAACATATGTATTACTATATCTATTTGCGTACAAGAAAGCCAATGTCATGTTTATGGAGTACAATACCAAATAGATTGTGCGTAAAAATTTAGAAAATATATCCAATGTCTTCCCATGAAATTGTTATCCACACCTAGCAAATTGAAAATCATTTTAAGATTGCCTTAGGCTTCCACAAAAAGCTACACACACATATATATAAATATATATATATATATATATATAACATCGTAGGATTATCGTAAAAACCCAAATATAAACGAATTAAAGTGCATAAAGCAGCCGCAGTTGTTAGTCAACAGCAGTACTGTCGAGCGAATTGCATATCTGAGATGTTTTCAGATTCACAGCATTTATTAATGTAGTTATTATTAAATTTGTATACCCTGAACCCATGTTTCAGGCAGAAGGAGGCGTGCCAGACCCCACAAAGTATTTTTGATCAGGGCGACGAGTTGAGTCGATTTGGCCCTGTCCGTCTGTCTGTCTGTCCGCATGTTTAAGCGCGTCGAGAAGATATAGGAGCTAGATAATTTACATTTTGTTTTAAATGTCCGTATATATAAGGCGCATATCGAGTTTATCACTAAAAATCGACAGCTCATCAGGTTATTTAGTTATCGATAAAAAAACATCGAAAATCTGTTATAAAATTATATCTCCTACATCTTTCAAGCTATAGCCTCCAAATTTTAAATATACATTAAGATGCATTTATACAATTTCGATTTTTGTAAGACATATTTCAAGTACTAGAGACTTGTGCTTTGGAATGTACATACATTTGAATATTATAACGCTTTGAAAGTTCCATTAAGATTGTAAATTAAATTATTCAACATATATGTTTCGACTAGAGCTTTCTTGTTTAAGTTTTGAGTTATTTTCATATATTATGTATCTGAATACGAGCTAGAAATTGTATGTTAATATAAAATTTTTGCTGTTATAAACATGTTATGTATGTATATTATGTACTGTTCTTTTTATTTGTCAATACCAAATAAAGATTTTAAGGCGTAGGTGATAATATTGTTTGACTTTCACTGCTCAGATAACCCATTCTACTGTAGAGAGGACGAAAAGGGATGGTATGTTGGATAAAATTCATGAATTGGTATTTTATTATATGATCTCTCATTTTTTGTTGCTTGTGTTTACTATTTGCTTTTATTGGACAAATTGAATGTGTGAAATACGTAAAACTTGATCTAAAATTCACGCCTATGATATTTGTCTGGATCAAAGTATGATGTAACAACAACGCGATCGCTGAACTTCCGGCCAGTCAGCGCCTGTTGAGCTTTTTGACAATCGAGTACCGAGTTAAATTCGACAAACACTTTGCCGCAACCAGGAACTTCTACGCCTTCAATCGGACGCGGTATTTCAACGCTGCGAACGACTCCATATTTCGTACATTCCTCCTTAATATCCTCTAGTATGTCCTCATACTCCTCTTCATCGCGCAACTCATCAGGAGTGACCATATTCAATAAGCAAAGAACTTCAGTGGGTGGACCGGACGTCACTACCGTCGACAAGCCCGGCACTTGCAACATCACCGACTGGGTTGTATTAGCAGCATTCTGAGCATTTTTGGCACCCACGCTGGCACGTTGAACGATCAGTTTCTTATCTCCTAGCTGCATACCATTTAATCCAGCAATTGACTTTAGAGGTATATTTATCGGTTAGTAATGACGTTATCAAAATGTATCAGCTTAGCTCACCTGATCAGTAATGCTTAGATCAACGTATTCACAAAAGGCATAACCTTTACTTAAACCCGTGGCTGCGTCCTTAACAAGGTTAAAGGCTCTTAGCTTACCAAATGATAGCAATAATTCTTTCACCTGCAATACAGTAAATCGTTTATTGTGAAGCCAATTGAAGCTACGAAAGTTTTTACTTATAATATAAGAAGAAATAGTTTTATACTGTTAACTTCTAATCAACTTAAAATGCTGATTAAGTTCAACAGATCCCAAGAAATGGTAAGGAATATTGTGTATATGTATGGGAATAGAAGAAAAGAGGGAGAGAGTGAAAGAGATATAAATGAGACAGCAGGGTATAACGTTTTTTTGAAAAGTATGAGACCCCATAAAATATACATATTCTTGATCAGAGCGATGAGCTGAGTCGATATAGGCTTCTCCGTCCGTCCGTATGAGCGCCTAGATCTCAAAAGTTATAAGAGCTAGAGACTTTAAATTTTGCAGTACGAGTTCATCATATTTGTTCGATAATTTTCCGATTTCAGATTTACTGTGTATATACAATTGATGAGTGCGAAAAGAGTCAAGTACTAAAAAATCTGGAATGTACGCACATTATAACCTTATGATTACATTCTGAAAGTTTCATGAAGATAGTCTTATTACAAGAGAAATTATTCATCAAGTAAATTCTCATAATGTTGCCCAGTTAGCAGAGCGCCTGCTCATGATGCGTGCGTGTGGATGCAAGTGTATGTATGTGCGCAGAGAAGTGCAGAATTATTAAAATATCAGCTTGGAGAGTTCAGGGTATCTCCTACTCGAGCTGTCTCAACTAGAACCTTCTTACTGGTTTTTATCTGGAATATTTCTAAAAGCACACTTCAGAACCCAACTTGAATTTGTAACTAAAATATTTATGTGACATTGTAGAAGCAGCTAGTTATTTTCATTGCTGGGGCCTCTTCTGAAATATATTTGCCTACCATTTGTTGATAAAAATTCCCAAGATATATATATATATATATATATATATATATATATATATATATATATATATTTCAGTATTGGCTTTTAATGATTTCAACTTTATATGTACAGCACTTACCTGTTCATCATTTAAATAATTGGGCAGACCACCTATAAATATTTTGTGGGGTGAATCGGGTACCACTGTTGAAATGACTCCACTTGACACTATTAGATAATTAGTGATATTATTTGTAAAATTTATTTAACGATTTCATTATATATTACTTACCAACAGCGGGCTTTACTGCCGGCGTATCTGTAATGCCGGGCATTGGTTGATAATCATGTGGGCGCCTTATTTTGAGGTCTTGTCCTTTCAAATTGATGCCATCAAAGGCCATCGCCTGGGTGGTCTCGTCTATAGATCTGAACTCTAGAAAAGCGAAGTTCTTGTCCAAATTAATTTGACATGCCAGCACTGGACTGCCGGCGGCTTGTGCTAAACCAACTAAATGCATTTGTTGATTGAAAAACTCCATCATTTCCTCTTCGGTAACACCGAACGGAATGTTGCCCACATACAAGCGACGCGCCTGCCGAGTTATAGTTGACCCCACCACGGGAACAGCTGTTTGCGGCGTATCTGGAACTACGCTTGCCGGGATTTGACCCGACGCCTGCATCGCTTTGTACTGCATAGGTGTTATATGCTCGAATCCAGGCGGTGGCACATCCCAATACAATGATGGCTTGCGACGCGAGTTCCGATGGTGGCGCCGGTCCCTAGAACGATCACGGTGCCGGTCACGAGAGCGGGAACGATGGCGGCGCCTATCACGATCACGATCACGATCTATTCAAGTAAAGCGCATAATAAAAAAAAAAAAAGATTTTTATTATTTATATATATGTATAAATTTTTAATATATGTACAGTGGAATCCAGTTATAAGGACGCCTAAAGGACCCAGGATTTTACGTCGCTATACCGGAGGACGCTTAATTCAGCAGGAGCAAAATAAGGGGGTTTTCTTTATTTTACGGTTGCCATGTTCGTAAGAGGTTTTAGCACAAAACAAAATAGCTTTTTAATCAAAACAAATAAGTTTTATAAATTTGTTTCAAAAACATGGTATAAAAACATTTGTGTGACGTCAGCAGTTTATCTCTCTCTCTCTCTCTCTCTCTCTCTCTCTCTCTCTCTCTCTCTCTCTCT